GCTGGAGTGCAGTGGCCAGATCTCAGCTCACTGCAAGCTCCGCCTCCCGGGTTTACGCCATTCTCCTGCCTCAGCCTCCCGAGTAGCTGGGACTGCAGGCGCCCGCCACCTCGCCCGGCTAGTTTTTTGTATTTTTTAGTAGAGACGGGGTTTCACGGGGTTATCCAGGATGGTCTGGATCTCCTGACCTCATGATCCGCCCGTCTCGGCCTCCCAAAGTGCTGGGATTACAGGCTTGAGCCACCGCGCTCGGCCACAATGGCCTCTTTAGACCCAACTCCTGCCTCCCAGTCTTCTCCTCAGGCCCAGAACTTTCTCAAGTCGACCTCACCAGACCCAGCTCCTGCCTCTCATTGCCCTCCCAAGGACCAGCTTTTGCCTCACGGCCACCTTCCAAGACCCAGCTCCTGTTTTACAGTGGCCTCATGGGGCCCATCTTCTGACTCCCGGCAGCCTATACAGGCCCAGCTCCTGCCTTACAGTGGCCTCTTTAGTCCCAGCTCCTGCGTCTCTGCAGGAGGCCCAAATGTCCTCAAGTCCAGGCCACAAAATCCAGGCCCAAAATGTCCGCAAGTCGGCCTCTCAAGGCCCCGCTCCTGCCTTTCGTTGGCCTCTCCAGGCCTAGCTGCTGCCCCCAGGTGACCTCTACAGGCTGTGCTTTTACTTCTGGCTGTGCCTGGAGGCCCAACTCCTGCCTCAGAACAACTTCTTTTGGTTCAGCTCCTGCCCAGTTCCTGGTGGCCTTTGAAGGCCCAAAAGTGCCTCAAGTCAAGCTTTCCAGGCCCACCCTCTGCCTCCCAGTAGCCTGGACAGGCCCAGCTCCTACATGACAATGGCCTCTCCAAGCCCAGCTTTTGCCTCACGGACATCTTCCCCAAACAAGCTCCAACCTGCCTCCCGGCCACCTTGACGGGCCCAGATCCTGTCTCATACTAACCTTGTTAGGCCCAGCTCATGCCTCATTGTGGCCTGTCCAGGCCCAGGGCCTGCCCCCCGACAGGCTGTTCGTGCCCAAAACTTCCTCAAGTCAGCCTCTCCAGTCACAGCTCCTGCCCAACATTGGCCTCTTTAGGCCTCTCCAGGCCCAGCTCCTGCATCCTGGCAGCTTCTCTAGACCAAGAACTTTCTCAGGTCTGCCATCCCAGGCCCAACTCCTGCCTCCCGTCAGCCTCTATAGGCTCAACCTCTGCCTCGCAGGAGACTTTCCTGGCCTCCTAGGCCAAGCTCCTGCCTTTCAGCAGCCTCTACAGGCCCAGCTCCTGCCTCTCAATGACCTCTCTAGAGCAAGCTCATGCCTCACAGTGGCCATTCTGGCTCAGCTTTTGCCTTTTGGCAGTATCTCCAGGCCCAGAACTTCCTCAAGTGGGCCTTTCCAGGCTCAGCTCTTCCTCTCGGCTGCATCTCCAGGCCCACCTCCTACCTCACAACAACCTCTTTCAGCTCAGCTCTTGCCCAGCTCCTAGCAGCCTTTATAGGCCCAAAGCTTTCTCACATCATGTTCTCCAGCACAACCTGCCTCCCAGCAGCTTAAATAGGTCCAGCTCCTGCATGACCATGGCCTCTCCAGGCTCAGCTCTTGCTTAACGGAGTTCATCCTTGACCAAGTTCCTGCCTGCCTCCCAGCAGGCTCGAAAGGCCCAGCTCCTGCCCCCTACAGTCTCTCCAGGCCAAAATCTTCCTCAAGTCAGCCTCTACAGGCTAGTCTCTTGCCTCACACTGGCCTCTCCAGCCCAGCTTCTGCATCTTGGCAGCCTCTCCAGGCCCAGCTCTTGCCTCATGGCAGCTGCCCCAGGCCAAGTTTCTGACTGCCTGCCAGCAGCCTCAACAGGCACAGCTCCTCCCTCACACTGGCCTGTTTAGGCCCAATTCATGACTGTCAGGCCCTATCCAGGCCCAGTGCCTGCCTTCTGACTGACTCTTGAAGCCCAAAACTTCCTCAAATCAGCCTTTTTAGGCCCACCTTCTGTCTACTGTCGGACTCTACAGGCCAGCCTCTGCCTCACAGTGGACCCTCCAGACCCAGATCATGTCTTACCGTGGCATCCTCAGGTGAAGATCCTGCCTTTCGGTAGCTTCTACAGGGCCACCTCCTGCCTTGCAATGGCCTTTTTAGGCCAAGCTCATGCCCCATGGCGACTTTTCCAGGCACAGATTTTGCCTTTTGCAGCCTGTCCAGGCCCAGAATGTCCTCAACTCGGCATCTCTGGGACGAGTTCATTCTCCCGGCTGCATCTACAGGCCCATTTCCTGCCTCAAAACAACTTCCTTTGGCCCAACTCCTGCCAAGCTGCTGGCAGCCTCTGTAGGCCACAGACTTCTTAAAGTAAAGCTTTCCAGGCCCACCTTCGGCCTCCCGGCAGCCTCAGCAATCAAACTATTCCCTCATGGCAGCTACCAAAAGCCAAGTTTCTCCCTGCCTCACGACATCCTCCAAAAACTGAGCATTTGCCTCACGGCAGCCTCCCCAGGCCACGAATCTGTCTGTCTCCCAGCAGTCTTGACAAGTCCAGCTGTTGCCTCGCAATGGCCCCTTTAGGCCCAGCTTATGCCAAAAGGGGGACTCTCCAGGCATAGCTCTTGCCTTCTGGCAGCCTCTGCAGGCCCCAGTTCTCCAAAAGTTGGTCTCTCCCAACCCAGCTCCTACCTCACGTCAGCCTACACGGGCCCAAACTCTACCATACAGTGGCCCTTCCAGGCCCACCACTTGCCTGATCATGGCCTCCTCAGGTGAATTTCCTGCCTCACAATGGCCTCTGTACGCCAAGCTCATGTCTCCCGGTGGCCTTTCCTAGTGTAACTTTTGCTTTTTGACGCATACTCTAGGCTAAAAACTTCCTCCATTCAGCCTGTCCAGGCCAAGATCTTCCTCCCAAAGGCCTCTGCAGGCCCAAATCGTCCTGAAGTCAGCCTCTGCAGGCCCAGATCCTGCCTCTCAGTGCTGTGTAGGTGAAGCTAATGCCTCACAGGAGGCGTTCCAGGCCAAGCGTTTGCTTTTGTACATCCTCTCCATGCCCTCAAATTACTCCAGTAGGTCTCTCCAGGCCCAGCTCTTCCTCCCAGCAGCCAAATTGTCCTCAATTCGGCCTCTCCAGGACCAACTCCTGCCTTCTGGAGGCTTCTGCAGGCTAAAATCGACCTCACGTCAGCCTCTCTAGGCCCGGCTCTTGCCTCTAAGTAGACTCTCCAGGTGCACAACTGCCTCAAGTCAGCCTCTCCAGGCCCAACTCCTGCCTCCCAGTGGCCTCTTTAGGACCAGCTCGTTCTACATAACGGATTTTCCAGGCCCGGTTTTTCCCTGTTGATGGCTTCCCGAGGCCCAGAACGTCCTCAAATCGGACTCTAAAGACCCATTTACTGCTGCATGGTGTTCTCTCCTGGCCCAAGTCTTCTTCCCGGATGTGTTTATATGCTCAATTCCAGCCAGACAACAACCTCTGTGGACGTACCTCCTGTCAAGCTCCTGATGGCCTATATAGACCGAAAACACCCTCAAGCCAAGCTCATCAGGCCAAATTCCGGCCACATGGGGGCCTCTGCAGGCCCAAACCAACCTAAAGTCGGCCTGTCCAGGACTAGCTACACCCTACCGACCACTTCTGCAGGCCCAGCCTCTGCCTCATGGCAGCCTCCACAGGCCAAGTTCTTCCCGGTGGCGGCATATACAGGCCCAACTCCTGCCTCACAAGAAACAACTTCTTTTGGCTCAGATCCTGCACACATCCTGCCAGCATCTGTAGCTAGACACTGTCTCCAATCAAGCTCTTTCGACCTCCGCAGTCCAGAGCTCCTCTTGCCATTCGGCAGCTGCGACAGGCCCCACTCCTGCCTCCCGGTGGCCTGTTTAGGCCCAGCTCATTCGTCACGGGGAACGGCCTTTCCAGGCCCAGTCTTTGCATTTTGGCGGCCTCTCTAGGCTCAGGACTTCCTCAGGCCAGCCTCCCCAGACCCAGTTGCGGCCTCCCGGCCTCCTGTCGAGGCCCAGCTCTTCCTGCTGCTGGCTGCGGCCACAGGCCCAACTCCTGCCTCACAGCAACCGCTTTGGACTCAGCTCCGGCCCAGCTCCTGCTCCGCGGCCTTTGTAGGCCCCCAACGTCCTGAAGCCAGGCTCTGCAGGCCCAGCTCGGGCCTCACGGTGGCCTCTCCGGGCTCAGCTCCTGCCCTCCGACGGCATCTCCAGGCCCCAGACTTCCCTCCTCCAGCCGGCTTCTCTAGGCCCAGCTCGGGCCTCCCGGCAGCCTCTGCAGGCCCAAGTGGTCCCGGAGTCGGCCTCTCCAGGCCCGGCTCCGGCCTCCCGGCGGCCTCTCCAGGCGCGAAACGTCCTCAGGTGGGCCCCTCCAGGGCCAGCTCCCGCCTCCCGTCGGCCTCCGCAGGCCCAGCCTCTGCCTGCCTGGTGGCGGCCACTCCAGGCCCAGCTCTTCCTCCCGGCTGCGGCCTCCACAGGCCCGACTCCTGCCTCGCAAGCAACAGCCTCTTTGGGCTCAGCTCCTGTCCAGCTCCTGCCAGCCTTTGTAGGCCCGGAACTTTGTCCCGTCAAGCTCTTCAGGCCCACCTCCTGCCTCCCGCTGGCCTACACAGCCCCAGCTCTGGCTTGAGAACAGCCTCTGCAGGCCCCGTTCCTGCCTCCCTGGGGCCTCTCCAGGCCCAGCTCTCGCCTCACGGCGCCTCCCCGGGGCCACATTCCTGCTTGGCTCCCGGCTGCCTCGACAGGCCCAGCTCCTCCCTCCGCGGTGGCCTGTTTAGGCCCGACTCATGCCTCTGGTGGCCTGCCTCGCAGGTGTCAGCTCCTGCCTCACACTGGCCTCTCTAGGCCGAGGTCCTCCCTCACACGGGCCCGTTGAGGCCCAGCTCGTGCCTCTGGTGGCCTCTCCAGGCCCAGCTCCTGCCTGTGGGCGGCCTCTCCAGGCCCAGCCTCTGCCTGACAGTGGGCCCTCCAGGCCCATCTCTTGCCAGGCCATGGCCCCCTCG